GTGGCGAGGCAGGGATCGGCTCAGACGTGGAGAGAAAGTATTGAGATAACTCCAGTATAAATAACTAGATGAACTTTTATTCAATTCTACAAGAATTAAACCAGAAAGGCAAAATCAGTCAACAACATATGTAAATCTCATGAAGATCAAATACTGAAAACAGCAATAAACATGAGTTTAAAAAAAAACAATATAAACACTTCAAGATGGCTTAAACAGTTATATTCCTAAATTCAGTATGTAAATCAGTGTATACAATTAAACCAGGATTTCCGCATTTAAAATAACGTAATAAATTATCAGCCATAATCAAATGTAATAATATGTATAATCATAATGTTCTGTAAACCATAATATCAGTATAAATACTGTAATGCAACACAAAGTTGTCCAGAATAACAATTGTAATCAACGCACAACAGAGAATATGTAACATCATAATTCAGTACTAATGAATAACAGTACTGTAATTATTTAATTACAGTGTCGCAACATATTACAGTATTAATTATCGACATAAACTTACGACTTATCTATACAGTACATTAAATCAGAACAGTACATCAGTTCAATGTTCTCAGTGGTAAACAATCTGAATGGAATTAAGATAAGTACAATATAAACAATAGAGCATATAAAAAGCCTGTACCAAGCATGATGGATAAAGAAGCCTCATTACATAATTAGAAATGGAAATCAATGCGCCACACAAACCATGCTTTCCTTCTGAACAAAGGAAAATAATATAGTATATTTAAATAAATTAGTTCTTACAAAAACCCATTAAAATTCATCATGAATTATATAGAATGCATTAGCACACAAATCTTATAATGTATAAAAATATTCAATCAACTTATTTTAAACTGAATTAATCAACGCATAAATGTCAAACTACAGCGACAAGCTTAGGCAGAGCTAGTCTACTGCTCAAACAGCACGCCGCTATCCGCATACACGTGAGACAGTCTAGCCTAAGCAGAGTGTTACATAGGCTACATAGGCTATGTGCTAAATTAATACTTTGAAGATACAAACACTTATGTTGCATTATATATATGCTCCCCATACAGGGAATTTATTCATCAAACTCCAGGCCTCCGGCCCCTTGTAAAACAAAATTATTACAAATTAAATAAGCGTGCTGTGACAATACCATACTTTAAATAAATTTCATTAATACACCCATGTTTCTTTGTTTTCCTTTCTCTTAAATGCATGATAAATAAATAAACATACTTTTCTAATTATATTACTGTTTTTTGATGACATAATTTGATAAAATTTTTAATTTGTTGGAAAATTAATATAATATGATAGGAGATATGTTTTTCTTAAATCAGTATATAACTTGCAAAACAAAAGAAAATGAATCTCATCTTCGATACTACCATCTTGGCAAATACAAAGTCTATTTTTATAATTAACATTGTTTTTACGCCCCTTTTCAATTTCAAGGTTATGATTTGATATACGAAAGGATGTCATTAACAGTTTAAAATACGGTTTTATATTCATTGAGAGATAAGCTTCAATTCCAAAAGTACACTTGAATTTAACATATTGTTTCAATTTATTTGAATTATTTATACTGTTAAACCAATTTTGTTCATCTATGTCTTGGCATCGTTTGTTAAAATTATAAATGAAAGCCGTTTCATCACCCACCCCTTGGTTCATCCAGACTTCCCCATATCCATATTGAAACAGAAGAGACCTAATGCAACTTGCCCAACAATCACTGTCATTATCTATAAATCTTAACTGTTCGACATATGCATTATATACCAGCCTCTCTCTATCCAATGTAATAATTCTCAACCAATATTTAATGATTCTTGTCAATCTTTTAGATCTAATTGTATGTCGACCCAGTTCACCTCTAATCGCTGCACTCTCTGAATTTCTTTTTTTTCCTAATACAAATTTACAAAATTTAACATGGATTTTTTCAATATCTTCGCCCATTATGTAGCCCCAGACCTCACTCCCATAGTCTAGAATTGATTTTATTTTAATGTCAAAAATTTTAAAGTAAATGTTAATTGGTAAATTACCCATAGACTTTGTATTTGCCATAATTGCATACATAGATTTCGACGCTTGTTCAGCCAGAGTTTTTTGTGCCATAGACCAAATACCACGAGATGAAAAAACAATACCTAAATATTTAAAATATGGAACGACTTCAATTAAATTACCTCGGTATGTCCATCTTTCATATGATCTGAGAATTCCCCCGTTTCTAAACACAATTATCTTAGATTTCTTCAAATTAACATTAACTCCAAATTTCATACAATATTTATCTAACTCATTAATTAAT